ATGACATGGACGTGAGGCCAATTTGTCGAAATACCTTGGTAACAGTCACTGAAGCCATAGAAAATTGCAAAGTGACTGATTCCGTCGGCTGAAATTGCCAAGCCTGACAAGGCTCATAGACAGTGGATGTCCGAACTGTGTTAATTTCTGAAATTTTCGCGCCGTCAATGGCTGCTGTACGCTCATGGATAATGGACTTCCACGCATTATTCAAACCCATTGGTATGAGTTTCCAGCGGTGTCGGGATTCATTACCATATACTTTTACATATTCCTTATGATGAACATTGATGCTCATGTCAGTTACCACGCTGCCTGACCTATGCAGCACACAGCGCCGCTCTGGCTTGTAAAAAACCTGCCATTTTCCTATCACTTGACACAGGAACCGTTCATCAAGGTTAAAACTCACCAACCGAGATGGAAAGTCGTTACCGTCAAGGCCAATATAGACTGGCAGGATCACGCTCAGCCAGCCATACCTCTGACCTGAATTCGACACCGCCAACTGTCGTCGTCCCGGTAGGAGTCTTCAGCACGCCGGGCTCGGCTCTGGTCTCAGTTCTCTGCCGCCGACTGTTGTCGTCCTCAGCGCCTCAAGGTGATAACATTTTTGTGATGATGTTGTGATAATGTGAATGATATCATTTTTTAGAATGTTCGCCTTTCATCTTGCGACAGGCTGTGCCCAAAAATTGGCCAGGGTGCCCACTTTTAAAACCAATTTTATCTTTCACATCATCTGACTATGTTAGGAAGGAGACATCACATTTTCGAAATCTCATCGCTACACATGCGGCTTCGGTGATTAGCACCAGAAACGCTTTCTTTTCTCAGTTCCTTAGTTATACTCAGATTCCAAAGCTTATGACCAAACTACAAACTGTTCGTTTGTAGCTTCCAATGAATCTTTAAAACTATTTTTTTAAAAACTCGGGAAAAGTGCACTTGCTAGTTGACGGTATTTACACATCACAGTGTAGCGGACATGGCCGCGTCATAGCGGACATGGCCGCGCCTGGGGACACTAAACGTGCTCGGTGCTTGGACATGGCCAAGCCTGGGGACACTAAACGTGCTCGGTGCTCGGACATGGTCACGCCTGGGGACACTAAGCCCACTCATGACTGCCGCATGTGACAACCTGGGCCAACGAGGCGTCGCCAGAATGCAGAATGAAATGAGAATGACTGAAGGAGGGTGGATGTCCCCAGTGTGCGACAGGCTCACACGTTCACGTTATTGATTGCCCGTGCACATGTTTCTCTTTCTGAGCATTACATTGCGGGTCACTGTAGATGAGCACTCTACCAGCCGGTTCTGTGCGCTGCAGCTCAGGTGGTTAGTGCTCAGCGGCAGTTGAGCAGCTGCACCGGCGCGGCACCAGTATGGGGCAGTGGTGACATGGTGCCGGCGCCACCGGCGGCCTGATCGGCGCGGTCCCCGTCAGCGGGCGGCTGGTGCAGTGGCTCTGACAGGTCGCGCCGCCGGCCGGCCGGGCGGCGACGGCGCGACGCCGGCCGACCGGCCTGATCTATCCTCAGTGAGGCAATCTGGCTGGCCACCGGCGACCCATTCATCAGCCAGCACCGGCGGCCCGCCAGCTGACGCCGCGCCGCACCCCGCGGCGGCCGGAGCCGACCGGAGCCGAGCGGAGCCGACTGGAGCCGAATGAAGCCGAGCGGAGCCGAGAGGAGCCGACCAGAGCCGACCGGAGCAGACCGGAGCCGACCAGAGCCGAACGGAGCCGAGCGGAGCTGACCGGAGCCGAACGCAGCCGAGCACAGTCAACCGGAGCCGACCGGAGTCGACCGGAGCCGACCAGAGCCGACCAGAGCCGACCGGAGCTGACCGGAGCCGGCCAGAGCCGAACAGAGCCGGGCGGAGCTGACCAGAGCCGAACGCAGCCGAGCACAGTCAACCGGAGCCGACCGGAGTCGACCGGAGCCGACCAAAGCCGACCAGAGCCGACCGGAGCTGACCGGAGCCGGCCAGAGCCGAACGGAGCCGGGCGGAGCCGACCGGAGTCGAACGCAGCCGAGCGGAGCTGACCGGAGCCAAACGCAGCCGAGCACAGTCAACCGGAGCCAGACGCAGCCGAGCACAGTCAACCGGAGCCGACCGGAGCCGACCAGAGCCGAGCGGAGCCGAGCGGAGCCGACCAAAGCCGACCGGAGTCGAGCAGAGCCGACCAGAGCCGAGCGGAGCCAACCGGAGCCGACAGAGCCGACCGGGGCCGAGCGGAGCCGACCAGAGCCGATCGGAGCCGACCGAAGCCGAGCGGACCCAATCGGAGCCCCCAGCCGTCTGATGGGCCAGCAGCCCCGTTTAGAGGCGGCTGGCGTCCCGGGTCCTCGCGGGAGTGCGCGCTGAGCCGACTTGGCGAATTTAGACGACGAGAAGCTCATCAGGACCTTGTTCTTCATCAGGAATGGGCTTCGAGAGTGACATCACTGGTAAATCAGGTAGCTATGACGTAGGTTGAATGAGCTTTCATTTATTAAAGAAAATGGACTCGAGGGCCCAGGTCTTCACAGCCAAGCTTCGGCCATTGATGTAACAACTTGTGGCGTCGCAGGTAATCACGTCGTACACGGTTTTAAAGGCCACCTGTAATTGGGCTTCAAGACAAGCATGGGCTTCAAGTAGAACCAGTTGTTTCAAGTCCATGTAGGCATATAGCACGCAGCAATGCGCATTTGCATATTATCGATTGCACAGTTATTGGCAAGTTATGTGCTCAAAAACGGCGTCGTTGATTACACCATCAACGTACGCTTGAGATCTGCCTGCTTGCCCGAGGTACAGCATTGCCAACATCACGTCGACCGTTGTCAGGTGTCACTATGTATATAATCGCGGGATACCACACTTTCTTCGCCCCGCAGCCATTTCAGGAATGGGCGTCGGCGTGACGTCGCCGTGTGAGGTGCCGCGTCATACGCCGAGTGGGCTTGCTCCAAGTAGTGAATGGACTTCCATTTGCCAATGAAGGACGGGCCCAGACGCTGGCCGGGCTCTTGCCGCGTCGCCTGAGTCCAGTTGCTCATTGACGTACGACCCGGGCCCCGCCCTCCGAGGTGGCGTCATAAATACACGCCAATGGGGAACGCCTTTCATGCCAAACGTGGGCACAAGAAGAATCGGCTGGTTAACCGCATGGAGACATACAGTGCCCAGGAATGGCGCACTTAAATATTATTTCACACACAAAATAAAGATATAAAGGCATCAGGCCAATACATAGCTACAAGGACTCATCGAAATTGGCCTACTTCAGGTTCTGCAAGCATCTTCTCGACACTAATACTACACCTGACCTGCCTAAATTCGGCTGTAAATGAGATCCTTAGACCAGTAGAACTTATCCAAATACATTTTAAGTGCTGCTGGGGAGGGACTTGTCACAATCCGTGCGACAGTCCATTCCAACGGTTCACTACTCCTTAACTCGCTGACATCTGCCTCTTCATAGCTCTTCTCCATCTTGTGTTTTTTAAAACTGGTTTCCTCTAACTCTCGGCCAAATTTCCACTGTTCCTTACAGATCTCCCTTGTCTACCCTCTCATGATCTTCAGTACCTCCATCCTCAGTGCTCAGGTCCAACTCCCGGCCTCCCATTTTATAGCCAATGCCCTCCCTGTCAGAACTACCCAAATGCTGCCCAAACGCTAATGAACTAAAAATTAACTACCCAAATGCTAATGAACTAAAAATGAACTACCCAAATGCATTACCTCACACTTGCCACATTGAATGAAATCTGCCGCGGAATACCTGCCGTCCACAGGTGTGAATCGAACCGAATCAAATCACAGATTTAAGCCTGTGATCTGTAGCTAAATGAATCGTTACCGATCACACTTTACGCATGGGGTAGTAACCTGTCTGTTTGCCGGACACATAAACCGTCAACAGCACATCGACCGTTGCTATGCGTTGCTATGTCAGTGCCGACGACTGAGTTGTAAACAAGCGCATTTACTACGCCTTCCGGCCGCATTCGGGATGGGTTTGAGTCGTGACGTCATAGATAAAAGGAATGAGCTTACCGCGAAGTAAGGAATGGGCTTCTATTGGCTTATGGAGAACGGGCTCTGAGTGGCGGTGCAGCCCGCCGCGGTCAGCTGAGTGGCGGCGCAGCCCGCCACGGCGCGGCTCAGGGTCCCGCCGGCTGCCAGATGTGGGACGGAGCAGCGGAACCACGGCTGCAGCTCGGCGCCGACAGCCGACGCCGAGGAGTCGGACAGAGCCGAACTGAAGGCGAGCCGGGTCCGGGTCGGGGTCGGGGTCGAGGTCGGCGTTAGAGCTTAAATCGGTGTCGAATCATAGTCGAAACTGATATGTGGGTCGGAGTCGGAGTCGGAGTCAGCATCAGAGTTTGCCAACGAGCGTGGGATGGAGTCGGGGCCGGATTCGGAGTCACAGGAGAACTCAAATACGAGTCGGGTAAGAGGCCAATGTCGTGGCCGTAACCAAAGGTGGGAAGGGGGTTCGGAAGCCAGCGGTGCCGCTTTCGACCTGGGATACTGATTGTAATAGGTTCCAAGATCTGTGCACCGATGTAATTTTCTCGGGCCGAGACGCGCAGAGGCTCTGCGGCAGAAAACTACCTGCGAATGCTGAGATGTCGGCCACACAACCTCCACGAGCCGCGCCGTCAGGCCCCCCCCCCCCCCCCCTTGTCCGGCTGCGAACAAACAGGCGCGCAGCTTCCACGCCCGACCATTTGTTTGTGTAGTCGCGTTAATATATCACGATTTACAGCGGCGCTGGGCCGCGGCGGCCAGGCGCCGACACCGCGGCAGAGGCTAGCGCCCATGTGACGGTCGCCGACACGTTCCGCCAATGGGCGAGCCAGGATCGGGAACTCCGCGCGCTGATTGGCCGGCCGACGCGTATCTCGGCGGCGGGCGATAGCCTCGCGCCGGGCGCTGCAAAGCGTAGGATTCTTTGTTCGGCGCGCGGCGCCGGCTGCCGGCGCGCGGCCGCCCAGTGCCGCGTGGACGGCGGAGCGTTGTGTGCGTGGCGAGGGGGAGTGGAGCGCCACCACGCCGAGGGCCGTGGACGGCTCGGCGGCTAGGTGAGGTCCGGGCGGCGCTGCGCCCCATGTGCTGCGAGTGTGCGCCGCTGGGTGCGGACCGGGCCGCGCGCGCGTGAGCTCCGAGAGCACCGGTGCTGCGGAGGCGGCGGTGCTCCCGGCGCCTACCGTGGCCGGTGGGCGATGCCGGAGGTCCCGTGTGTGCTCTGCGGTCGGTGCTCTGACCTGTGTTCTGGGCGTGGTGTGTTCCGGCGGGTGAAGCGGTCCACCCGGTGACGCTGTCGGGCGATTCGCACCAGTGTCTGTTGGGCGGCTGTTTATGGAGGTTCGTGACGCCCCGATGCTAGGTCGTGACGGTTTGGAGTTCGCCTGTGCAGCACCGTTTAGGGCCACAATGAATGCAGGCCGCGAAGTTTGGTGCTCTTACACGCCTTTGGAGCCCTAGTGGTTTGCTAACTGCTAGTGTGCTCCCTAAAACTGGTTTATTTACTCCCGGTACGAAACATTTTCTAACGATATTCCTCTCACCATTACTCATTCATCGTTATGCAAACATTTGCAGGTGGGATGGTCATAGGCGTTCAACTGCAGACAATTGTCCACCGGAAAGGTCATGCTGTATGCCCTTCCCCTTCATGATCTGCTGGTTTTCTTGATTGATCCGTTAGACGGCGACAGCTGCCGCCTGCCGTTCCGTGCTATCCGCTGCAGGGCCTACGGCTCCAACAGCAAACGCATGGGTCGAGTCATGCTTCTTAACTGGTTCTCGACAAGATGCGTGCGCGCGGTACTGCCATGGGTCACCGGCTCGGGGCAGATACATGCGGTTGCAGCTTCCTCGCAGTGCGCATTCCGTGGAGCAGCCACCACATGAGCTGGACGACCCCCGCGAGGTTCGTCTCCCACGGGGGTTCGTTACGGCTCTGCCGTAAGGAACGTTACGGTCGGGGTTCGAATCGCCCGGGTCTGGCCGGTCGGGGGGTTTGACTCGCCCGTGTCTGGCGGCTGCGGTCGGGGTTCGACTCGCCCGTGTCTGGCGGCTGCGGTCGGGGGGTTCGACTCGCCCGGTGTCTGGCGGCTGCGGTCGGGGGTTCGACTCGCCCGTGTCTGGCGGCTGCGATCGGGGTTCGACTCGCCCGGTCTGGCGGCTGCGGTCGGGGGGTTCGACTCGCCCGTGTCTGGCGGCCTGCGATCGGGGGTTCGACTCGCCCGTGTCTGGCGGCTGCGATCGGGGTTTCGACTCGCCCGGGTCTGGCGGCTGCGATCGGGGTTCGACTCGCCCGTGTCTGGTGGCTGCGGTCGGGGGGTTCGACTCGCCCGTGTCTGGCGGCTGCGATCGGGGTTCGACTCGCCCGTGTCTGGCGGCTGCGATCGGGGTTCGACTCGCCCGTGTCTGGCGGCTGCGATCGGGGTTCGACTCGCCCGTGTCTGGCGGCTGCGATCGGGGTTCGACTCGCCCGGGTCTGGCGGCTGCGGTCGGGGGGTTCGACTCGCCCGTGTCTGGCGGCTGCGGTCGGGGGGTTCGACTCGCCCGTGTCTGGCGGCTGCGGTCGGGGGGTTCGACTCGCCCGTGTCTGGCGGCTGCGGTCGGGGGGTTCGACTCGCCCGTGTCTGGCGGCTGCGATCGGGGGATGCCGGATCAATCGCGCCTAGCGCCGGTATTCGCAGGCGCGGCCACGCCGGCGTGGCGGGGCTCGGGCTGAGGCGGGCCGAGCCGAGCTGAGCCGGGCCGGGCCGGGCCGGGCCGGGCCGAGCCGGGCCGGGGAACGTCCGTCCACTTGTGCCCGCCGGCTGACCCCACCGAAGCGATAACAATCTGGGCTCGCGCGGCCGGCGCGCCGCCGGCAGGAGGGGACGCCGCGTGGGGGAGGGTCGGCCCGCCTCGGGCACAACCCAGCCGCGGCGTTCCCTGGCCGCAGTGGAAGCCGATCAGCCCGGGTTAAGCCCTGACCTATCTCCAAACCTCTCGGGGCGTGTTGACTGTGGGCGCTGCCGGGCCGGCATCCGAGGCTCGGCGCGCCGCGCCAGATAAGAACGGACGGCCATGTGACGCCACGGCTGGTCCGTGACGTCGTTTGTTCAGAAGTCGTTGCTGGCTGCGCCGGTGATCTGGCTGACTTCACTGTTGTCGGGAGAATCCCAGAGGCTCAACGGCGGGGGTCAGCAGCACTGGGAGGCATGGCGCTGAAATTACAGCCCGACTTTATCGACGGGATTTCCGCATGGGGGACGTTCGTGCCGTCGGGTTCTCTGGCGACCAGCCTGGCGGCCAGCCTTCCCACCCTGACGTTTTTGTCCTTTCCCGCTTCCCCTGCCGCCCCTCCTCCATTGCTCGTCAGTCGCTTCCTCGCACTTTATCCGCTCCCCTCCCTTTCAATCCCCTCGGCCTTATGCCGATTTCAGCCGCGCCGGCCGGGGACGTGCCTGCCTCCGGGCCGGGCGCTGTTTTCCCGACGCTAATCCGCCATACATCAGTGTGCATCAGCTTTATTTCGTCGCCGCACGGAACCCGGTCGGAATTTCTCCGGTGCCCGATTGGCGAGTCGGCCGCGCGCGCGCGCTGCCCGACTATCGAATGCGCCTGTGGAAGCCATCGGGCGGCGGCCGCCGTGCCGGCCTTGATGAGCTTGGTGAAGGCGGCTGTTCCACTGCCGTGTGAAATACGACTCTAATTGGTCGGCCCGGTGCGGGAGGCCGGCGACCACTATCCCGGCCGATAACGTGCTTTACAGACGACCTCAAAGAGCAGCCGGCGGGCGCGACGCTGGCGCCAGGTGGAGGTATAATGTCATCTGACGCCGGCGATTTGGGTGTGGCGGCTCTCCGGACTGGGCGCCCGCCCGCGCACTCGCCGCGCGAACCAGCCCCTGGTTGTTAATGCGGTCAGCTGTTTGTTTCTTTCATTAAAATAAACTTGTGGCTTTTCAATGGACTGCGCGAAGGTATTTGGGTGGACAGTGCGTGCATTGTGCGTGGATGCATATGTGACTGCTCACTGCTTTGCAGCGATCCGTTTTGGGAAGACCTTTTGGAGTTCACGTATTGCAAAACAAGAATTTGTGTTTATGCATAACAAGTTGCACCTTTCTCAAATGCCCGGCGTACCTTCATCACCAGCCAAACAAATTGCAGGAAGTGCACTATCAGTTTTGTCGCCCAATTGACACATTTTGGTCATAACCATCACCATCCAACCAACCTAAAGCCCGTTACGTATATGTGACGTTTTCCACAACAATGACAAAATAACGCCCTTGGCAGTACGCAGCAAAGAATGAATGACGCCGTGGCAGCCCGTAAGGCCCATTGCCACTTTCCGGGCGGGAGCGTCGTCGGCAGATCCTGGCGGACGCCGGCGCCGGCCTGGTCGAGCCAGATTACAGATCCTGCAGCGGGGCGGCGAAACTAAACCGGGCTCCGTTTCCGGCCGGGCTGCCGGCGGCGGCCGGGCCCATCCCGGCACGGGCGGCGGCCGCGCCCCGGAGCCAGCTGACGCCCGGCCGCCGACCAGTCAATAATGACACCGGAGAGGCCGAGCCGCACGGCCGCGGCCGCACCGCGCCATCTTGAGATCGGCCCGAGTGACGCGGCGGGCACGTGCGGTGGCGCACCGCCGCCGGCTCCCGTTGTCCGGTTTTTCTCGGCGCGGCGACGGGCGCCGGTACAGGCCCGTCGCGCCGCCGCTACGGACTCGTCGCGATGCCGGCAGGTGGTGCGTCGTTTTTGTCGTCGGGCGGAGGGCGCCGCCGTTCGACAGACGCGGCGAGAGTGGCGCCGCCGGCCGTGGCGCGACGCCTCGATAGATACGACTAGCTCCCGCAGCGGTGCCCGGAGAGTCAGCGCAGCTTTTTCGCTGCGGCAAAAGACGGGAGAAATCCGACAGTGATGTAAAGGAGCGGTTAATTAGGCAGCGCGATGCGGAGGAGTTGATGGATTACGTGCTCCACTGCCTGGAAAAGTACGGTTCAAGGCGCGCGGCCTTCACTGCGAGGGCCAGGGGCCGTTTTTGTGTGCTGTGCGAACACTATGTGCATTCAGTTCGCCGCCTACTCAACAGGCGATGTGCCAAGGGCGGCTCTTGATAATTGTGTTCAGAGGGCAGAGGTCATAAGATACAAGATACAGAGGTCATAAGATACAAGATGCATAGCGCGATACATTCACGTCAATGGGTTTCGTCAGTGCACAAGTAAGGCAAAGGTCGCTAGTTGGCCGATGGTCGTGGATCTTCATGTATTCATGGAGTACGGACACAGAATGCCAGACGGATCGGCCGGTGCCGCATATCCTCATCTCTCAGATGTGGACACAGGTCGGTTTCAATTGTCATCAATAGAGCTTGACACGGCCATGACATTATCAGGTCTGTCAGCTTAAATGTCTCGGGCTTATACACCTCGGCGCTCCGTCTCGCGCTGTGGCATGCACATTTTTGACAGCAAATTAATCCACCGCAACTTACGGAAACCAGACAAATATACGTGCCAAGACAGTCGGAATAAGTGCCGTGAATGTATTTGTGGTGCTTGCAAGATCATGTTACATTAGACATTGGGACGGCGGTAAGATCGATGACGATGCCTGTTGTGCTTCTGTATCACTGGTAGGCAGAGGAGCTGGGTATGCATTATGAAGCGCTAAAAACACCCGTGTTGTGCAGACCCGTCCAAGAGACATAAAACCATGGCGCGTCGTTGTCTCAGGGATGCGGAAAATTGTGAATTGAGTTGGTCGGGCGGGTCAACGATCCGCGAATGGCTGTACGCCAGATGACGTAGTGAGTCACGGGACCGGTCTCCGGTTGGTCAGAACTAAACAGGCGCTATTATTTGGTATAGAGATATGAAGACATCGCGATTTGGCAGGCAGTGGTGGTAGCCGGCGATTTCTCCGAGTGTTATCCAATTACAGTTCGAGGAGAAGTCCGCAGATCGCGGCTGAGATGCGGCCTTTCATGGTCGACTGGCGTGACAACAATACAGAACGGCATCGGAGGTGCTGCTGTGCTTCCGGTGAAACCAAACACATCTCCAGCATAGTGCGTGGATTTCTGTGATGCCCTATTCCTGGAATATGAAAACATACCAAACTGGGGAAAATTAGTCACTCTGCCCATTTCGGATTATGATGTGATAGCCTTTTTCGGCGCATCCCATCGCATCAGCGTGGACATACGCAGCGGCTCATGTTTTTTTTCGAGGCGCATGATGTAGGCACGTGAACTCAGGCTATATGCCATGGCGGTCCGGTTTGCGGTCCGGTTTTTAAAGGGCGTAATTGCTGGTGTTGCACATACACTCGTGGTCCAAGCGGTTTCGGTGCGCGCCTGATGCAGGCTGATCAGGTGGAGCGGCGGAGCTGCTGTGCGCCTTTTACGGATCCGGTAGTAACGGTGCCGTGCTAGCATGAAACAAGCTCGGTTGCGGCATTCCTCACGAAAACATGTCAGTACGCCAGCCGCACACCTTATGTGGCTCGGTGCCTAGCCCTTAGGTGTTCCGCCGCCGTTTTATGTGCTCTTGAGCAGTGGTGACGCTTATTGAGGACTTGGGGAAACTGCCGAACCGAGCACGAGAGCCCATTTCTGTACTTTTTTTTTGCCTTTTTTCATAGCCTTAGATCTTGAGATAGTATTTGATAGCTTAGATGGTGATGAAGCTTCTCTTGAAGGCATTCGATAGCCCGAACTTATCTTGTGGACTTAATCTATCACTGGACTTAATCACCTATGCAGCCGTCCATATTTGCTCTTAACTTTTTCTTAATAACATGTGTGTCTGGTGAGGCTTTTTGGTAGCATTTTACTTTGATTTTTCGATGAGAAACAAAGCCCGCTTACGCGCCGAACAAGCATCGCCTGCCTGGTGCGAGCAAGCAAAGCATGTACAAGTAGCAAGGGTGTGTCTGACCCAGCCTAAGCCAAGCGCCGGACTAAAAGTCTTCGCTAGGATCAAAATTCCGGCAACATCTTGGCCACAGGTTTGGCCAACATTTTAAGCCTAGTTATTTTGCACCACCATATGCACTAAGGATCTTGTGCACTTCAGGCCCCTGTGGGGGGGGGGGGGGGGCACCTCCTCAGCCGTCTCCTTGGCTTTATCGCCAGCCTGGATAGCTGGGTCTCGTTTCAGTTCCCAAGCTGCTCCGGGGGGGGGGGGGGGCTGACACCGCCACCGCTGCTGAGCTGAAGTTAAGACATGTTGTGGAGTGTAAACGGGAGCTGGTCATGTGTTCGGGCTCCATGGAGCGCAGCCTTCGGTGCCGTGGCTCTGTTCAGATGCGCGGCGGCGTTCTTGCGGCTCGTGCGCTCGTGTTGTGACGGCGGCCCTGTGGTCACGCGCCGCCCCTTCGTATGTTGCAGCGTGCAGCCGGTGATCTACCATGAAGGAGGGCACGCCTGCCGAACCTAGGTCAACCCCGAGGTCAGCGGAGGCAGCCGGCGGCGGCGGCGGCGGCGGCGGCGGCGGCGCGGCCCCCGTCACCAACTTCGAGTACGACGACAACGAGTGGGACGTGGGCATCGGCGACCTCATCATCGACCTGGACGCCGACATCGAGAAGAACAACGACAGCGCGCCGACGGCGGCGCCGGCGGCCGGTGACGGCGCCAAGATGGGCGTGCGCGCGCAGCACTCCAGTTCCATGGACAAGGGGCTCAAGATGAAGATCAAGCGCACTTCCAAGCCGGGCCGGTCGTCCGAGGCCAAGCACGAGATCGTGCACGTGGATAGCGCGGCGCGGGCGGCGGCAACGGCGGCGGGGGCGGGGGCGGGGGCGGTGGCCGGCGTGGCCGAGCCCAGGGTTGCAAAAGTGGTGGGCAAACGTGCCGTGCACAAGAAAGAGCGCCGTGACAAGGACGCCGTCAAACAGGAGAGGTGCGAGAACGGCGTGAGTGGTGGTGAACGCCAGGAGGACGGGCCGGCCACCGAGCACGAGGAGCCCGCGCCGTCGCCGCCGGCCAAGCGGCACAAGACGGATTCCCCCACTCAGGTATGCGTCTGCCGGCCTGGCGTTTTTGTGGCCGTGTCTGGCTTTGTATGCGACGGCACGCGGCGGTCGCTCGCCCCGCCGGGCGCTGGCGGACGGCTCGAGAGCACCCCGCGTGGGCTTCAGGAGTAGCCAGCTGCCGCCGTCCTGCTCGGGCAGTGTGTGGGTCGAGCGGGGACGGATCTGTTGCGCTTCCGTGTGACAATGCGTGCGATGGCTATGCACCAGCCCGTTGCGATGGCCGCGGGCTGGTGGCTACGTGCCGCGTGCCGAGACCACATTTTGCTCAGCTTTGATGGGGGAGGGGGCGCTAATCGCATATGTTATCTCGTGAGGCCTGTGGTCATGCGTGAAAAGATTGACCCCAGAGCGTCATTACGGTGCAAGCATCCGGTCATTTCGTTCGAAACCTGACAATCCCGGTCACTTCATCATGTGTCGTGGCCGTCGGGAGGGATCCGCGATCGTTTGTCGCAGCCGTCGGCATGGATACGTGATACGGTGGCCCATGCTCCCTGGCTTAGAGTGCTTCTACTATGCAGTCAAACCGTATTTATTGACGCATCACTTCAGACCAATAGCTGTTACGTCACTAAACCGTCACTGAACACTGCCGCTGCAGACCGTAACCCACGGCGCTTGCGTGCCAATGGTCCGTTTGAAAGAGCTGTCTCCGTTGCCGGCTGCGAAGCCGTGCAGGGCAGCCGGTGCCGCCCGCGGTCGCTGAGGTCCCGGACCTTGGCGCGGCGCCAAACGGAACTCGACTGCCCGCCCCGGGGATAATGGGATAATAGCACACATTTATACTTAGCTCTATCACCGCGGATCATTTGTCAGGTTTGAAAATGCTGCTGTTCAGCGCGGGCCAGCTGACCTTCAGTTGTTTGACATGTATTTTGCCCCGAAGTTCTATTGAGGTTAATTCAGTATCAAGATGCTTGTTCCCAGGCTACTCACAGACCAGTTCCCAACACTATCAACACAAAGAATATCTCTGTCGAAAACCGGGGCTTCGATGATAATGATCGGAATCAATGGACCTTCCTATCCTTGCGTGCCGACCATCGATATACATATAACAAGCCGCTGCTGTGGTTAACAACTCCCCCCCCCAACCCCACCCCAACCACTCTGCACCGCCGCGGCCGAGACTCGTTGCGCTCCTCCCCGCCGGGCTAACCTGCGGCTTCGCGGCGCCGTTGTCATTTGGTGGCCTCGACTTTGCGACGGCCGGGTGGCTGGGGCGAGTGGTCACCGGCTGCCGACCGAAAACCAATGAAAGCCCGCCACCGCCGCCGGGCCTGGGACGGGACACCCCTGGCACTGCGTCTCGCGGCCCGCATGCCTCCGGACTGACGCTGTCGCCGTTTTTCTGTGCGTTTTGTTGCGGTTATTAATTTCAGCGACGTTTTCTGCCAGCGCTCGGCCAAATGAACCGGAGCCCATCCGTGTTCGGGTTGAGTAATGCTTGTTTACCGAGGCTGGTTTTTATTAACTTGGCTGCGATCTGCTCTCGACTCTCGCTGTCAGCTCTCTCCCAAATCAGGAGCTGGTTTATGTGGCGTGTCCCGCGGCTATAAATTGTGCTGTTACATCTGGTGACCTCTGGGGTCACTAATCGCCCTCAGGCGAGCACGCCGTCAGGCAGGCGTCGCGGCGGGTCGGTACCGTTTCTCAGCACTCGACAGCGCTATAGAGCGCGGCTGGCAGCGTATCAAGGACTCGTAAAAGGAGCAGGTATTTTTATGAAAAGAAGTACATTTTAGGTTTTCAAGTTTTTTCTTTTTTAGCGGGGAGGTTTTCAAAGTATCTTGCCGAGCCCTTGAGAGGGCAGGGCAGATCAGTATCACAGCGTCCAAACGTAAAATATGGCACTATCTGACAACGCAGAAATTGGACGAAGGATATGCGCCTTCTTCAGTTTTTTTTCAACTATTTTGAGAGTACGGGCGAAAGCCGCTTGCGGGGGGCCTGCTTATCTGAGCCTGGACACCTTATTAAAGTGCCTACTGTTAAAAGCTGGCATTATTCAGGCGCAGGATCGGTGCTCATTATTCAGGTCGGGTTTTTAACCTTTGCACCATCATTGTTCCGCCGTCATTGCAGCTCGCCCCTCCCCGCCCACCCGGTCGCCCCAGCCTGAGCCGGCTGTCTGTCGCCTCGCCACCCGTTAACTCGCACATCCCGCCCAGGCGGTCAGCGGAATGTGCCCTGTAGATCCAGTAACCGCGCCCTGCACGATGATCGCGTCACACGACGCTCCGCCGTGAGGCTGCTCATTTGCGTGGGACCACGTCTGCGTCTGTCGTCTGCCGGTCGGCCGCCGGCACGCAGAAAATGCGGGCGGTGATTGGCTCGTCTCGCCGGTCGCTCCGTGACGTCACACCCTTCGCCCGGCCGCCCTGAATGCCGCCGCAGCCCGGCCGGCTGAGGCGGTAGGAGAATCTGCTCCGTTAGTATCGCCCGTCATCCCGGTCCGGCTCGGGCCGGACGGCTCGGAGCTGGGGGACAGACAGCGCACGGTTTTTGTCGGTCCGCGCCAGAGCTGCCGCGCGGCCCGCTGGCCTGGTGATCGAGCGGCTGGCCGGGGCGCCACATCGCGGCCGTCGGCGCCAGCGCGATCAGCCGGACGCTTGGCGCAGGTGTGCACGACTTTCACCCCGGGATCCATTAATTAGCCATCTGGCAAGCCTGGCCCGTTTTCATAGCTAATTTAGAAGGCTCCAAAGGATGCCCGGCGCTCTCGGGCGCGCGCTTGACGTGTTTTCGGTCGGTAGGTTCGCGGACGATTGACGAGTTTTCGGTGTCGTCTGCTTCTGACGGGCCGACTCGTCTCTCTTGAAAATGGCTCCTTGGCCGAGTAGGGCTCCCTTCAATGTGTCCTTAGGCCCCAATGGCGACGGCGAAGTGGGCTAGCGACGCCCCGTATTAAAGTGGGCCAGCGACGCCCTCCGAGGGCTCGTGGCGTGTATACGGCGCTGAGCCTCGCATGACCGTTCAGTGACGTATGGGAGGAACGTCACGGTTGGGCCGTACTGGTGAAAATGGCGAGGCGCGCCGACTCGCGGCGGCGTGTTTTATGGGTTTCGCACTTGCAGCTAGCTGTGATTCGGTTTTCTCCTCTGCGATAGGCTTAGAAAGGCTTCGGTTTTCTCCACTGCGATAGGCTTAGGAATGCTTCGGTTTTCTCCGCTACAATAGGCATTGGATATGTGGGATTAGCCCATAGTGGTCACATGGCATGCATCATAAAATGAACCAAGTTTTATTGGCGCTTGAGAATGGGGTGGGCCAATGGGTGTGGGGGTCCGTGCCAAGCAAACCTATGCTATTCCAATCGGCTCTTCCACAAGACAGACGGCAGTCTCTTCGCCCACCACCCGCGGGACCCGGCCAGCACGCACTCCTTCCCCGTCTGGACCGTTCTCCGCTCCTGTGTGGACCATTCTCCACCCTCATCTGGACCGTTCTCCGCCCCCGTCTGGACCATTCTCCACCCTCAGCTGACCCGTTCTCCGCTCCCATCTGGGCCGTTTTCAGCTCCCCAGCCCCGTATGAACCGTTTTCTGCTCCACCTGGGCCGTTTTCCGCTCTCGTCTTGGCCGTTCTCCGCCCCTGTCTGGGCCATTCTCCGTCCTCGTCTGGACCATTCTCCGCCCTCATCTGAACCGTCCTCCGCCTTCATCTGGACCGTTCTCCGCCCCGTCTGGACCATTCTCCACCCTCATCTGGACCGTTCTCCGCCCTCATCTGGTCCGTTCTCCGCCCCTGTCTGCGCTGTTCGTCGCGCTCGTGTGGACCATTCGCCGCCGTCGTCTGGCCGTTCTCCGCTTCCATCTGGCTGTTAACACTCCGTCCTCCTCTGGACCATTCTCCGTCCTCGTCCAGACCGTTCTCCGCCCTCGTCCGGACGGTTCTCCGCTCCCGTCTGCGCTGTTCGCCGCGCTCGTCGGCGCGCGCCAGCCGTCGCTGCGCCCGGTGTTTTTTGTCTGACTTTCACCGGAGCGCGGTGCCGGGCCATCGGGTCGGCCAAATGGACGCGCTTATCGTCCGGCGGCGTGTGACCGCCCGCCCCCTCGCCGCCCCTGCCACCATCGTGTCGTCATGTCTCGCGCGTTCGTGGGTGCGCTTCCTTTGTATTGCGCGTGCGGTGGGCGCGGAGACCACGGGGCGCCATGGGCTGGCACCTCGCGTGCCAGGGTGGCGAAGGAGCGCGTACATGACTTATAGCGATTTGGGGCAGGCGGCTCACAGCGGGCCAGGTTCGGGCGGGTGTCCCCCGCTCCGAACCGTCCAGTTCGCGACAGATGCGGCTTGGTTGTGCACTCCGTGCCGGTCGTGCTAGGTGGTCTCGTGATGCATGATAAAGGGCGCTTCATGACCCCATTGCCGTGCAAATGCACGTCACAGCCGCCATAACCACACCCGTCCCCAGCCGTGTCTTGCCAATAGAGCCGCGGCGTCTTCTGTCGCCCCTTCCCATTAGAGCTGTAGATTTGTGCTCGCGTGCCCACGAAGGGCGGGTTAAAAAAAGAGCAAGGCATTTGTCAGCCATGGCTGATAATATGGTGGTTTTTGCAGGTTCTCAAAGCATGCAATTCGCAAAATTATTGCTTTGCATGTTCCAAAAATGTAAACGAATTTGCGTTTAATTTGCACAAAAATACAGATCAATCCAACCCCCAAAGTCCTTGGTCGTTTGCTTGTTTTGTGCGCTTCTGCCATCTCTTGTCTGTGTTATATATCTGTGCACAGGTCTACATGAAAAACAAATCAGTTAAAGAATATGGTGGCAATAAAGCATTCAATACATTAGTGTATCCTTCATTTCTGCTGGTGACTCCCTACGATGAATATGGCCAACATTGCACTAAACTGAATACTTGCGGGTAACGCCGACCCAGCCTGGCAGCACAGTGGGCTTGCCGGGCTGGAACCCCAGCTGACCAGAGTTTGGAGGACTGCGGGATGACGTTGTGGAAGAAGTTGTCAGGCTAAATTTC